GCCAAACCTACAGGTGGTCTTCTCACTAAAGAAAAGTCCTGACACACAGCAAAATTTGACAGCCGCCTGAGATGATTAAACAGCACCATTTGGAAGTAGCTCTGCCTCTAGCGGGTAAGGGGCAAAAAAGTGCCATAAAATTGTTGTGAATCACGTCGTGGACAAGTTTAATGTGGTTCATGGATACGAAAAGAGCAGTCGAAAAACTACAACAAATAACGACCTCCTTCCCCTTTCCCCTGCCTCCAAAGGGACTGCCACATTGACGCTGCTCAACAGTGGTCTTCTCCTGGGTATCTGAGCGGAATAGAATCTTCTTCTGACCGACACAAATCTCCGTCTTCCAACGCAGGTGAAAACGACGTTCATACACATCAATGACATCTGCTGTATTGCACCGTAATTCGGAGCACGGCGAGCGTGGTGTGTTCGCGACAAAGGCGATGTTTTATCCAGACTGCAGGACGGATAACCACCTAACCATACCCAGGAAGAGGCTCCAACGACTACCGCGCAGGCAACAGCAAGGTAAGTCGGCACCAGGTAAGTCAAATACTGTATTACTTGAAACGACTGGAGGCCAATCAAATTTTAAAAAGTGCATATACTCCGAACTTGAACAAATGCAAATCCTAGGGGTTCATTCAAATGTGGAAACCCAGTGTAGTGAACTGCGGTATGCCATTCAAGCTACCGAGACGAAAGCCCTTGGTCGCGCACTCCGTCAGCGTCAGGATTGCTTTGGTGACCGTGACGAAGACATCAACACGATTCTCTCCGTAAAACACAGTTTACACATGATTTATGCCATCAACAGCAACTAGGTCAATAAAGCCACATAATTCCAACATCGATACCTAGTATAACAGAGGCTGAGAGGTATGCGGGACGATAACCCGACTCGAAAAGTTGAAGGTCTCTGCGAAAACGTCGACCGATGTGAGCTACAGAAATCCTTCGCCGCCATCAAAGCTGTCGGCGGTCAACAAGACAAGGAAACTGCTACTGCCGAGGTTGGATGGAGCAACTCGCTGATGAGGAAGTCCTGACTCCTGAAGAGCCGTGCCGCGCACTTTAAGGGTGTCAACAATCACCTGCTGGAAATATTCCAGATACCATCAACTGACTTACTCAGTTGTTCACCATCGATGATCTCGAGCTTTCGCCCTCTATCCTTGAGAGAACCGAAGCAGTGCAACGGCTGTCCAGCGTAAAAGCATCAAGAGCAGACACAATTTCAGCCAACGTTTGCAAGTACAGTGGCCCACAACCTATGGAAAATCTTACATTACTATTCCAGAGGATTCGGTGACACGAACAGCCCCCAAGACTACGAGGATCGTACCATTGTGAACATCTGCAAAGGAAGAGGCACCGGCATAATAACAGTGACTTCTTCCTTCTCAGAGTCGCTGGAAATAATTTTGCTCGTGTCCACCTCGATCGTCGGAATATGCATTTTAAAACGCGACTTCTTCCAGAAACGCAATGCGGATTACGGAAAGACTCCGGAACAACACATCTAATCTTTGCGGCTCACCAATTGCAGGAAAAGTGACAGGTAATGAGATCTAATCTCTACACCACCTTCGTCGATGAGACAAAAGCATTCGATACTGTGAACTGCTACAAATTCCGAAAAATCATGCTGAAATTCGAATGTTGTTAGCGAATTTCTCAGATGCTTAGACAACTTCACGGCTATATGATGGACGGCTTAACGAAGGACGGGGAAATATCTAACGCACTCGGGGGAACTAAAGAAATTCCGCAGGGCTGCTTACTCATTCCACCCTGCTCACCCTCATATACTCCGCTATGGTAATGGACGTCTAACACGAGCAGCGGTCGAGTATCCCCATCAACTACCAAACCAGCGAAAATTGTTCAATACTCGTCACCTGAAAGCACCAGCGTTCATGACCTACTGTGTGAGGATGAACGCCCTAAATACAACGATGGAATTGGACATGCAGCGGTGTGCAACTCTTTACTACAGCCTGCTACAACTTCCGCTTGACACTCAACAAGTAGAAGAATGTGGTCCCTCACACACCGGGGTCGAATGCTGAATAACCGAATCCCGTGGAAATGTCAGTGGAAGTGACCTCATAGCGGCGGAGAAATTCGCGTGCATTTGGAACAAGATTTCGAGAAAAATATACAATCACCAAAGTCAGCCAAGTCTTAAGCCGGCAAAATACCCCGTTGAGAACCGCGGCGATATTCTGCTTCACAAAACCTCAGGCTGTGCAGGGTTGTTGCCCTGACAACACACGGGTACGGGACAGAGATGTGGGCAGTCTACGAAGGACAAGCAGAAAATTTAACTGTTTGTACCTCAGCTTCTTCCAAGGAACAGTGAAAGCGAAGTCGCAGAAAAGGATCCCTGGTACTGTGATCTAGGGAAGGGCTGACGTCCTCCGTTCCCAAGTCATGTTGCGGGCGATACAGTTGTGCTGTTGCGGCCAATTTGTGGGAATTAACGACAAGCGTTTGCCCAGGCGGATATTCTACGGCGACGTATGTGCGGGTTTTCGCTGATATGGCGGACAGAAAGGCCCCTGCAAGGACACCTAGGAGATTCTCCTTCAAACACCTGAAAACCAACCCGGAGACCTGAGAGGACCACGTTAAAGATCTACAGGCATGGCAGTCTGTCGTTCAGACTGGTGCAGCTATCTTCGAAGCAATTCGAATAGCCGCTTTCAATGCTTAAGACAGTTCTCCTCGTGTCCACGTCAATGGCACCCAGGTGAAAACCGCAGACAACTTCGCCTATTTGGGTAGTACACTCTCACGCTAAATCAAAATCGGCAACGGAGTGACCCGTTTGATATCCAAAGCCAGCCAAGCCTTCGGCACGCTGTAGAACGCAATATGGAGTCGCCACGAGCTGCACCTCAAGGTAAATCTGATGATGTACAAAGCTTTCATCCGGACGACCCTGCTGTACGATGCGTAGATCCCGAGAGTCCATAAGATACAGGCGGAAAAACCCAATCACTTCTACCTCAGATTTCTCCGGTGAATACCAAAACTGAGGTGGTCAGACAGAGTCCCGGACACAGAAGTTCTGAAACGGACTAGAATCCTCAGTATACACGAATTTTGATACTGCAAGACCAGTGGCCAGCTCAGAAGGTGTTCGCGCAAAAACTGAACATGACACTAATATTAAGCCGGTTGGAGAATGGGGTGCAACCACTACGGTCGACCAGATAAATCGCAGACGAGATATGTTAATACAGAGGGTTTCAGAAACATCCCCACAAAATTTCCAAGGACAGAGTAAATCATAATTTATACCTTCGTTAAGAGTGCGCTAGAGCTTAACTTGGGGACCGTCAGTCGCTTACCATCCAAAAGGCAATGGGCTACGGAAGGCTCAGCCACTGTCTAGTATACGTTTTCGACTTACACCTATGAAGATGATTAAAAAAACTCAAGGGCAAGCGCGGCCTTAACCACAAAGAAACGTTTTTGCTACGAAGTATGCATTCTACAGTTTTTCAGCCAGGCCACAAGCCAAAGGAACCCTGCCAACACTAGCCCAACCCAGCTCAGTCCGGCTCACTTGGGCTGAGTTGGCCTACAAGGTCGAAACAGGGTGTGGCAAAGGCGGATGTAGCCCAATTGGCCCAATCTCCTAAAAATGCGCAGGGGAGCTCGCCTTTTGACGCTTTCCAACTCCCCATTTCTAGATATCGAAACCGTCGGCGGACATGCATAAGCTATTGAGCCACCGCTCATTATAGGAACTCGACCCGAATTACGCCCGATGTAGGATTTTCACAAACCGCCTAATTAATTATACAAGCAATTGCTTGTCGACGCAGCCACGAATACAATAACGTAAGTCGGTTATTTGGAATTAGCGGAAAAAAGATGTTTCTTAGTGAATTAAATAACAGTACCCGAATATAAAAAAATTTTACAGGGTAGAGTCCTTCAGTCCACAGTGACTATTGTCTTCTAGTTCCCATGGCAGGTTTCTGTAATCAAGTGAATAAATTGGGTTACAAATAAAAAGATAATTTTCATACTATTTAAAGACCAGAAAGTTATGAAATTGATAACAAGTATTAAGCAGTTTATTTGGTAACTTTTATGGTTACGAGGAAAATATTTTCTTTGTAATTTATACTCAAGATTTTCATGCTACTTAAGTAGTCAAAAACCATGATAATATGTTTATGAAGATTTTGTAATAAGGCCTATTAATGGTAAGTTCAAATGGAAATTACCGTGTCTTCTGCCGGCAACAGACTGGGGCATGTTTCTGTGACGTCTCTTCCAGGTAACTGCTGAATTGTTAGATTAAATCCCTACGTCTGGATGACCCACCGTACCTGTATCTGTCGCCGTGGAACCACGTAATGGCATATTTACGTAGCTCCTTACTTAGGGACTTTCCGAAAGTAGGGCTTAACCTAATAGCGTTTGCGGCTGTCAAAGAATATTTGTTTACCGGAGAGGATAGAGGGGAGAACTGGAGAATGACCTTCTATCTGTCGATCCTACTAAGCAGAAACTGAGACAGAGAGGGGAGGTCGAGCAGAGTAGTCGGGAGATTTCTAACGAAGTGACACTCATTGCGTCCTCCGATAGCGGACAGCTGTGTAGCCTAGAAGTCGTTATAGGTATGCAGAAAAATTCGCGAACTTGCCACCTCCTGTGCGCAGTACGTTTCCTGAATCTACCCAAAATACAAATTTATTGTACTCCTCCTCAAAGCGCAGTGGCAGATTGGGCATTTTCGCCGTCTGTCTGACAGGAATAGCGTTAGCATGCACTACTCGAAGAATCTCGGCTAAAGTTGCTTTTAGCTCTTCAATTCCATTGGAGCCATATAGTCTCCTTTCTCCCTAAATGGTTGTTGATGTCACTGTGATTGATCTTACCGAAGACATCCCTTCTTTATGAATCTGCGAACGGCAATATTGTGGGCAGATACGTCTGCATTTCCGATTGGAACCCTAAACTGTAAATCAAAAAGTATGCGTATTGGTAGGGGCCAACCGCTGGAGGCTGAGTTGGCCTACTCCACGCCGACGAGGTGCTCGGCAGATTCTCGTCTTGCCATGCCCTACAAGTCATTTGAAATACTTTGGCTTACCGGAGGATTGGTGGTAGCGTTGGCCAACGAGTCAGTCTTCGCTCAGGCCGCTTTCGAGGGTACAAGTCCTTCCCGCCATCTTCCGAGTCGGACCTCAGCCTGCGGACGAGTTGAAGAAAATATGGTAAAGGTATGGGACACATACTTCATCCTCTTGCCTCTGCCCAAATCGGCAGGCTCGGAGCTGGACAAGTCTTCCGTGTCCTCCGCTCTCCTCAAGAGACGCCTGGTCCTCTCCAAAGTCAGATTATCCTTTAGGACTCTGACTGAGTAGATGTTCGTCTTCTCAGACGGCTCGAGATTCCTCGTTACCAACCACTCTCTGTGGTTGCGGTTTTTAGGTCAACGTACGCGACCTTCACTGACAAACCACGCTTTGGCCACATCGTCGACTGAGTTTTCGTCAATGAACTCAACATTTGCGTACATCTGGTTCAGTCGTATAGTTCAGGAACAACAGATTTAAGGTAAATGCACAGTCAAAAGTTAGTGTACATTGTACGTATGTAAAAGTGGAAAAAAGAATAACTGGCCATCAACGTTAAACGAAACATATTTACAAACAATGTCAGAAAGGGTAGCGATGGAGGGTCTACTTGATAAAACAGTTGCTTGGAAAATATCTTACGTTGAAGAGGAAAGAGAATTTGTAAAAATAGTCTATAGAGTCAACAAAGGGTGGTAGGTGATTTCGTTTGCCCACACGGATGTTAGTACACACGGCCGACGTCGTATAAGCACCACATTGTCGAGAGACTCTGTGGACAGGACACACCCCTTGTGAACAATAGCAGGGGAGCCGTGGGGTAAGTGAACTTGGCATGCGACTCCATCATCGTCGTCCAACATCATTGGACCTGTTGGTAACTCAGGTAGGCGTCTCTCAGGAAGCCTCTTATACACCGGTGAGACAAGATTTGTTGGCCCACTTATGCATTTACGAACCGTTTGTAAAAAGGACTCAAAGGGAAACGCAGAAAGAGTACCCGAAACACCAAAACTTTTAACGTCCTCCTGAAGATGCACAGGACAATGAACATCGTAAACTAAGTCAGTCAGATTGTAGAAATTAACAAAATCGAAAACAAAATATTCAACAGGCGTTGAGCGAAATCACCACATGTAAGATGCCACGTAGGATGGCAAATGGAAACGGCGACGAAGAACCACAAAAAATGCTGATAACGACCCTCGTGAAGGACTGAGGACAACACTACTGGCTCACTTAAAAGCAAAAATTGCCGATATGCAGCAGCTTTCCAATACTCCAACCAATCAAGCGGTCTACATTTGTGGGAAAATTCCGCAGGCAGATGACGACTTCATTTTCTTATCGCAGCATTCACGGGGACGGACTTGTTGGCTCCGAGTCGCCACAAATGTAGCAACTTGCGCATGACTCCCAGGGACACTAGGTGCATGTGGTCGATTGGGAAGGAGGCGACCATATCAATCGACCAATGCTCAAATTGTGATTTCCCTCTGTGGTTCAAAGCCTGACTTCGCAATCTAAACGACCTGTCGTCTCGGAGACGACCACCTTACGTTGGGAAGGTCATGCGGTCTGCTCTCGGGATTCCAACATGACAGCTCCTGCAGTGAATGCAGTGATCTCGTTGAAAAGCATGCCTGTCGCATCCGTAGTAATCATTATGGGCTTTCACTTGGCGTACATACGAGCGTGCAGGTGAATCGCAGATGACATTAGCTAGGTGGACCTTCACAACGTACTGCGTATGTGAGACCCGCAGGCCACCAGCTACAATGTCCTTCAGCTCACTTATGAAGTCGCTGAGAAAGCCGTCCAGCGGTTCGGGTTTGGCATAACCGGAGAACACTCCAACGACGACCGGTCGCCCAACCACTGGATGGTCAATACGTGCGAGGATTGACCAAAGACATTGACCAGGACCTTTAAATTATTTCATTCAGTCCATATGCAACTGAACGCGAATTTCGGGTTTTCAAGTTGGTTGCCGACGGCAGATCTCATCGAGCAGACCACGCTCACGGCCCAGATGGACAGCTCCCGTTATCTAGCTGTTTGCTAAGACAATTTCGGGGCGTTTACAGTAGTGTCCAAGGGTCCATGGGAACCTCCGGATGGTACGGATGCAAATCGTCAAATAACTACTTCAATGTGGACAATGGCAACTGTTTCTTTGTTCTTTGAAGAACGAAAATGAAACAGCCGACAACAAAGTTGAAGGAGCGTAAAAACATGGGTGCAAATTCTCACAAAAAAGGAGGCGTACACATCATCCAATTCTAGTGGAAATGTTTCTTTCCGAGGGCGGTCATATTGACAGCCTGGTTTGCCTACAGATGTCAAATTGCTCTGTTAGGAAAAGCATCAGTTGTCGCCAGCTAGAAGTCTACTACACAAACTATCAGAGTCCCTTCAGCAAAGTAGATAGGCTCAAACTAATTTCCCTGAGCAGAAACTAGATAGGCTATCATTTGCAGATAGCTAGTTGACTGACGAAAGAATGACCAGTGAAATTTGAACGGAAGACCACCAAATACTCCATCGAGACAAGGCGTAAAACTCCACGAGTTGTATAGGGTTGTTTGAATGATCTGACACCTCCCACACGGACCCAGGATGGTGGTGATGTATCTGCATGTCGGCGAAAATGGCCAGCGCCCTTCACTCTCTCTACCGCCGACCCCCTCCCCGCAACTCGCCGTGACGTCCGCTTCTCTCTCTCCCTCTCTCTCTACGTCGACACCTCCCTCGGCCCTCCTTTTCAGTTGCCCACAGCGCTGCGTTCCCCACTGGTTGTTCAGCAGGCATGTCAGCGTCACTTCATTACCCAGACAGATCATTCCCTTGCCGTAACCTATCACGTTTGTGCAATTGACCACTTTTATATGTACCCCCAGTTTCCATCACTGATTGTTATAACCTTATGCCTACCTAACGTTTCTCCCTTCCTTTCGTGTGGATGAGTATTGGGATGCGTTAGAGACTACTCAGATCGATATTAGCTAGGATATATTTTCAGTGCTTCGGTACTTCAGTGTGTGCTATCCTTGATGTCGTCGGCCGCTACAAAGGCCCAACACGAAGCTTTTGATCTTGAAGTTTATAAATACAATGAACCTTTCTGTTGTCAGAAGCAAATTTCCGAGTTCACAAGACACATTGCTGCGATTATTTCATTCTCGATCAGAATAAGGTAATTATTGACAGTAACCATGTGGATTATTTTTCGGCCCTCTAATTCAAATGAGCTCCGCGATGTAAAATTACTTAATTTTCTCAAAGGGATCCGTAAACAGAAGAACATTGCGACTTCGATACACCTCGAATAGGTTGCAGACTCCCTGTTTTTAAGTGCCCTAACGAAATCCTTCGATTAAAAACTACTAAAGTTACGGCGGAACAAAACTTCATCGGACAAAACTTACATAGCGAGGTTGAGCGAGAACCAACGATCCAGCTACTTGTATCTTGTATACGGTAAAGAAGGAGCGATAAGTCGAGGCTGGCGTTTCATTTAGACGACCCTTTCGCATTCATTTGCGTGTGTTCTCTCCTTTTTTCTAGGAATGTAAATTACGGAAGAAGTATCTGGAAATACTGTCTAGACGTACTGAGACATGCTGCTTCGGATGAATATGTGTTATCGGCTACAATCGTTATAAAACCTCTTACTAGTCGATCTGGAGATTATATAGCATCTAATTAAATTTCATTGTTATGTGAAAATATTAAGATCTTTCCCTCTATCCCTCGTATCCTTCGTGGGTTGATGCAATAGAAAAAAGACGTGTAAAGATTAAAAGAAGACCGAAAAAAGTAGCCGAAACATCAAAATGCGGAGCCATTTGTCGAATAAAAGGGGCGGCGTAATGAATGTCGCAAGTAATTGTGAATTGTTAAAATTCCTCCGTGCAGCGGCTATTGGCAGAAGACACTGTGTGCCCCAAGAAGTCCTACATACGAATCTGCAGTAATTCGAAGAACAATGACGAAAATGCGTGCCCCATAGATAACATCCGGACATATTATCTCAAAGGTCGCAAAAAAGCAAAACGTCTCTACCAGTTATTTTAATCGGCGTACAATGAAACCCCCGAAGATAACCTAGAGTTCTGAATGGCACAGGGCTCTGCCGTCATTAAACTATTGCCTTTTCTGTCGAAGCTGTAAGGCGGGTTCTCAATGAAATTAAACCAGACGTGTTTTCTAGACCATATGGAATACCTAGGGTGATAGTGAAGGAATTGTCTTTATGGTTGGCGAGAACTGTTAATCTCTCTTTCAATTGCCAATGAAAACAGGAAGCTTGTTTTCGAAGTGGAAAGCAGTTAACATAGTCCGCCTGTGTAGAAGAGTTATTGGGATGGTTGGAAATGGCCTTAGACCGAGGAGTTCCACTTGCCTTACTTGCAAGTATCTATGTCGGGAGTACGGTATAATACCTTTGCCATATGGAATTCATACTACTCGTAGTACTTCTGGTTTGTAGAAGGGGCATTACGTGGTTATTCCACAGTAGTTGACTGTCTTCGACTCGAATGTTTATTGAAATTTCGGTTCTGACCCTAAAAAGTCATGTCCCGGAGATTTAACTCCAAGTCCTGCACTGAGCAATTTCTGAAATTATTCACTTAGAGGTATGTCTGAACACTACTGGGCTTAAAATTGATAAAACAGATCACACAAGCAGAGGTGGTGGTGACTTTCCCCAGTATCTCTGCAAGAAGAGGTCAAGTAAACACCGGTTGATTTAGAAAATCTTGCATTTTTTCAACCAATGTCACAATTTCACGAGCAAATGGAGGGACCTTGATTTTGATAGTTCCAGGAAACAAAATATCCAGGAGCCTAAAGAGTAAAATAGTTCTCTGAAAATATCGAACAAGTGGGAGATAAGACTAGCCTTGTCTCAAGACGTCCATTAATCATGCCAGAAGTTTCAGCGCGCAACGAGAACGCTCGCTGGATTTCGGAATTATAGAAGCTTCGAAGAATGAAGGCTATAATACATATAACATAGAGATGGAAGATGACGTTTGGCCACTTTTGCCAAGGTTTCAAGACTGTTCCTTCTAAATTTATTAATAAAATACTTCCAGCAAATCATTTAAACATCTACAAAGAATTAGATTAAGGAATGTTAAGGAAGTAAGAAATCGTTTTCAAGGCGTGAAGGCAACAATGTTTGCACGCCAGTGCTATAAGGCTTCGCCTTTACGCGGACCTTACCACTTAAAAAGTATTGTCTTTCCTTTTTCTTTTTAATCCAGGTTTAGTGCTTAATTGATTTGCATTAGAAGAACTTGAGGACATACCGCTCGACCACACAAAGACAGCTGGCGATAACCGTGTATACTTCTCACTATTGAATTTTCTGACTGAAGGGCAGTAGTGTTTATTAAGTGTCCTCCAGCTTGACCTCAAAACTACTATGTAAGGTCAACACGTTATAGTTGACTTCTAGGTTTGTCGACACAGACTCCAGCAGGAACCCTGCGTGTCATCAGCTGCCGCGCTTGCGCTCACAATGCGTAGAAACGTTGTTGAGGAAACCGATTTCTTCCAAAATTCAGTTCGCTTGAATGAACTTGCCCTGCAAGCTTTGCAGATCTTGGTCCTGAAAAGTCACTCTGAAAGTGGTACGACAAATATTTACTGTCTTACATTTATTAGCATCAGAAAATTCAAGACACCGCCAGGTCTACCGTCGTCCATTTATGTAAGATTTATTTAAGTATAATGTTGTGCTACTTGGCATATTTTGCCTTTCAAAGGTTCCAGTTGACATTTTTGCCTCGAGATATTGTTCCTTCGTGTTTTGCGAAGCAGGAGATTCTGCCGCTCGATGGTCTTTGTCATAGGAACTTGATATGGTTGTCGATAAATTATATGATGAACCTCTGCCGTCTCTTGTACAGGTCATTATATTTAAATATGTGTTCTGGAGCAAATTATAACCTGATTTGTTGAACCGGCATCTCCAGTCTATATGCCCTTTCCAAGAGGACCGCATACGTACATAAAAACTTCAAATTTCATTTTCAGCAAAGTGGGTAAACTGCGCTGTTCAGCACAAACGCAAGAAAGGACGCCAGAGCACATATGTCTTGGATTTCGAACACGTACGTCCTGTGTGGTATTTTTGTGATGTCTTATGTAAGGTTACCCAAGTGAGGCTTAATTCGGTATGCAAGATCTACACACAAAATGCTAGGGTGCGGAAACTTTCTTGATATATGTAACGTAGCTTTTGATCAGTTTTTGAAGGAATCGTGATGCCTAATACGTGATCTAACTTATAACACCTCAAGCGCCTTCACGTTTTTATTCGGATCCATATTTATTTCTCAGGCTGCCTATTTCCTTAAGCCGACGTGGCAGTTGCTGGATATTGAGCAATCCATGGGCTATGCAACCATTGATATTGCCTGACTAGCGAGATTCACAATTAGTGTACTTGTCTCCTCCACACTAAAAGTCCGCTTAGAAAGATAAATCAATAACAAATATTAGAGTAGAAGGCAAAAGGGCCTACACAACTTATTTAGAGTACATTTTAATAGGAACATCATGCCAGTGCGAACACTTATATATTAGGTCATTTGGGTAGTCAGATCTCATAGACGAAGCAGCAAGCAGATTTCATGTTATAATTGAGCTGGTATTTGATATGCACGTCGGCGGCAAAACTTAACCCAGCTATAAGGTGTACCACCATATGATGCCGCAATATAAAAAACGAGCAGGCTTTGGTAATACAAAGTAGGATATATCAGAAATTTGTCTCATAAATGTTATTATCTAATCTTGAGAGACGGGAATGGGTCCTTGTGGGTTATGTACGGTCATCATCCAGTTCTATCCCAATTCTGGCTCCTGTGAACCCAGACTTTTTCCCACTGAGTGTTCGGGTAAAACGCTCGTCCAGATAAGCCGCAGGTTCGTGTCCTGTCAGCCATCGTTGAGAATATTCGGTCACAACTAAGTTATAAACAGCCATTCTGGTTCCCCTCGTTACTGTCCGTAACACTTCTCCGTTACCTATTACTCTTCATTGTACAACCGCCTAAGGGCGCTTGCGATTAATACCCCAATGGAAATCGGGGTCCCTATCGCTCGTTCTGGAATCAGAATACGCCGACAAAAGCTACCTCCATGTGCCAGAAAGTGGTTTCTTGTTTTCGAACATTTAAATAGTAGATTCCGCAGGCGAAGTAGGTTGACTTAAAAAGACATGATAAGGAACAAATGTAAGTAGCTATAACCCACATTTCAGCACGCATAAGACCGTTAATGTATTGAATAATCTATCCGTTCTGAAGTCCTTATTTGACGCAACGTTTGTTAATCTCATCTGAAGACACATATTGAACACTTTCAGAGGAACTTGGAGGTCTGGAAGATGAACAGGGAATACTAAAGTTGTTGAATAGTTCCTCATAGGCTCACCTACCCTTGGAGTATTCAGCTATCCAGTGTGGCTGTGATTATGAGATTTCTCTAGGACCGTGAATTATCAATTTAAATGGCATTCTATCTTTCCGTTTACAATGGCCGCTTAGAAAGTGTACGGCATAATTTACTTGTATTGTAAAATGTTATGAATCCTACATGGCCTTTTATTAGTGACACACAGAAATGTACGCCTTTCCTTACACGGAAAGTATGCAGTGTGTCGTTTAGAGACCCTAAGAGCAAGTGCAACTTCAGGTCGGGCTCAAAATTAGGTTGGGATTGAAAAGGTTTTCCGCCCCAAAGATAACTCCTCTTGGAGTATAAAATTTGAAGAAAAAGTAATTCGTCACCAAATAAGTGCAAGAAAGAATATTTTTATTTGCGTTTTCTATAAAATGCATGGCAAGAATTACCTATATGGCTCTCCAAATAGAACTTGAAAACAACGACTGCCTGCAGGACATGTGGCTTTTAGCCAACTTCCAGCGAATGTATGGTTAGGTTTAGGGTTAGGGTTGGGTTAAGGATTAGGTTTGAGGTTAGGCTTAAAGTTAGGACGAGTGGAGGTAAAGCTTGGGGTTAAGGACAGGGTAAGTGCCAAATACAAAGCTAAGGTTTAGAGTAGGGTCAGGGTTAAAATTAGGGCCACATTGTAGGTTTAGGCTTAAGTTAGTGTTGGGGTTAAAACACGGGAATTATGCGCAAGACCGCCTTTATTACGTGGGCGGAGCGCTCCTTTTCTCATGTCCTGTTTAGGGGGATCATATAAGTACTCCTTACTGAGTGTATCTGAATTAATAAGGAGATTAAGAATATATATGACAAACTTTTACTAATTTAGTATTCATTTTTACTTAGTGTAGTTTTTGCAAGCGACCGGAACGAAGCCCAGTCAAAAGCCGGTATTCTTGCGTGTCCGAAATATCTTGGGATTGCCCTACACAGATAATCCATCTTACAACCCCACTTAGGTAGTCCTTTCTAATCGAAAACGCACTTCAGAATTTCGGCTAGCATTTCAGGACACAGTTTAGTTACTGTTAATGTGCACGACGGCGTGTTTTATATCATATCACCCTGCACGGTCAGCAAATGGTCGGAATATGCAGACGCTGGACGATCAACTTAAACAACAGACAAACTGGCTCCCAAGCAGCCCTCTTAAAAACGCTTATTCAGTTCACCCAGGAGCGGAGCCAGCACGTGTACCTCCCTGGCCTTTTCGGCCGAAAAAAAATTTGAAATACAAAGAGTGTATTGAAGTCGAGAAATGACATGGTTATGTGCTGAAATGTAACCTCATAGATTATGTTCTGAAAAACGGAACCATGGCCCCGTCAGTCAGCATTCAGTCCGGCCAATGAAGCTTTTGTATGTTATCAGGGCTAACTTTTTATATAAGCTCAAGTTCGGATTCGAAAAAAACTACTGTTTCTATGGGTGCACTCTTGGAAACCCTATTTCAAAATATATACTCAGCTGTATACGATAGTTTTCACAGTTTAGCAAAATCATTCCTGAGCCTAAAGTTCCTCAACTCCGGTTGCCCTTTCATCCCAAATGACAGTTTCATGTTTTTGTGGGATAGCTGGGGAAAACTTCTGAAATGTTCCATACAGGCCAATGTGGTTGAAATATGAAAGGGTCATTTTAAGTTGTCTGCTTCTGCTCGGATACGCCAGCATCCTAGGACTTATAATTATATGCGGACCAACATTCTCTCTTATTTCCCAAAGCTGATGCAAAGGCATTAGCCCAAACGACTCAAATTTTGGCAGACAAGCAGTTTTCCTCCCTTGGGTCTTAATAGGACATTTCCTTTAATCAGTTTTTTTCTATTAGAGAAAGGGACGCCGTCTGGCCTTTAACTGCATTACGCCCAAAAATACAAGACCTGTATTAACAGGAATATAACGTTAACAATCTATTGCAGCAACCGATTACGGTGTTCCTGTACTGGTGACAGTTCGACTGTCGATGTACACCGTGTATTCCAAAGCAGAATGAGAGCAGGAACGGTGACTTGCGCGTGAACTAGTTTATAGTGCATTTACCGCGCTCTTTCCTGTCCCACCCAGACCCGTTGTCAAGACAGAGTCAAGAAAACCAGGAACGAAAGAGGACACAGGTAGCTGGTACTGCGTAAACCCGCACCTGGACGTGCCACCACACCCCCTGATCCACAACGTGCACTGCCCAGGATTTTATACCAAAACAAAAAATAGGGGCGACAAGGATCCCATATGACGCAACGCGAACCAGCAACTGGGCCAGTCATTACACCCCAATGTTGGCATTTGTTATGGGTGCGCATTCCAGATAACTCCTGTTGAACCCCAATCTAGCTCCCGTGTTGATTCAGCGCATTCGTCACGCGGCCCGTTTATCGGGCACCCCTGTACGTGTATTGTGGCTTGCACCAACGTTCCTTGCTCATCAAAAATGGCGGTCGAAAAAAGGGTCAGGTCATGCTTGAGTTGAAAATGTCAGTCGTCGAGGCGCTTTCCGAAGCCAAGTTAAACGGCTCAAACGGTATCAGTCCATCAACGTTCTCATTCATTTGTCTCTAATAATGCCAACTATTTCGCTATGCATTTCAGTACAGAGTTGCATAGGGAGACTACAGATAAGTGGATAAACTGGTTGATTTAAAGAAGTCCCAAATCCACTGCTGACGGTAAAGACCATATCCTGTCTTGTTAGGGGGGTCCAGCTGTTGGTTAGAGGTTCCTTGTTGTCTAAACTTCCTCTGGAGTATTTTTAACCAACAATTCAAAGCCGATCCTTCAGGTGAATTGACTATTATTTCTTAGTAGTTAACTGTGAGATAACCAAAAATTACATTTTAAATGCGTGAACAGCGTTTACTTTAGTAACCATGCTTTCATTGGCAGGAAATGAAGAAAATAACGGGGACTTCAGGGAGTACTGTCATCTTCTTTCCCTTCTTTTGTCAAAGCCACATCGGGCTGGTGCTAGACAGTATTTGCGAAGATGAGAAGGACTTTCGAGCTCATCGCTTTGTTACCGATGACATTTCTCTTGTAATGTGTCCATCTATTCGCACTTACATGAACATTGAAATACATCACGGCGGACTGCGTAAAGTGCAGTGCATACAACTTCGTTTTCTTACCGCTAAAAGGTTTGACGTAGTGTTCGGGATTTAAGCTTAACCTCTATGGACCCATTGTTCTGTTCGTTACACTGGTCAACTTGACTGCCGCTGAAAATTTAACACTTGAAAAATAAGAAGGGCACATCAGAACAGGTTCATTGGAACATTGATGTTTAGGAGAGCTTGATCGGCTTAACAGAACAAAAGTGGAAGTGATGTGCCGCGCTAGACGGCCACCTGCTGTTCGATTCTTTTCTTTCGCTGCCTCGGCTTTTTGGAGGATGTTTGGGAGGTTTTTTGGGTGCGTGCGTTAAGATACTACCTTGAAAGGGGGTGGTTGTACCTCTGCAAGCGTTGTTCGATCTGGTGGCTCGTTTCCTCCCCCACCAAATAAATTTGTTGACAGACTGTGCCTGCGCAGGTTCCTGAAGTTCGGTTTGGGCATCTTGTTCTGGGCTCTGTGTACGTAGTAACGTAGGGCTTTAAAATCTCTACGAAGGTTGGCATGCATGTTTATGGAGTTGGCACCTGAATACCTCGCCTCGAGTGTCAACCCCTTGGTCTTTCAGTTAGCTCCAGTCGCTCCCCACGGATCGAAAGTATGGCCAGTCTCTCCGATGTGTGTTGCAAGTTGAGAGTTTTGGTCTAGCCCCCGAGTTGCCGATTTGTGCTCTTGTATGCGAGTCCACAACTTCCGCCTGACTTCTTTAACATAATTGCAGTCCCCAGCATTACAACATAGTTTTCGGACTGTTGCTAAGGTTTCGGTGAATGGCAGCGTGCCCTTAGGTTGCATAACACAGCGACGAGTTGATGACTGAGGTCGATGCTCAATGCCTAATCTGGGGGGGGGTCTTAACAGTTGGCCAACCACTTTGGAGACTCCTTTGATCTAGGGAGTGGCCCTCCAGACTTCGACTTGCTGCTCCTTTGCCCGACATCTGTTCGTTCGGCGCCTATTTTTCTCGATAAAAGGACTGGCGTATTCATTGCCTCTGAAAAGGGTTCCGGAGGTATAGCCGTTCAGCTCTTTTGTCCTCTGACGTGCTGCAGTGCCTCAATTCTTCGGAGTAGAGTGCGGGCACAAATACATTGGTGAGACAGAGAATGACTGCTGTTGAAGTGTAACGTTTGCCAATGGCTTTTCCGCGCACTGTGGTTCGCAGTTATCCAACTGCACACCGGCACGTCGAGAAAGGGCAGTTGGTTGTTTGTTTTGACATCCATCGTGAATTGGATATGCGGGTCAAGTGAGTTCGGCAATCATTTAAGGTGTTCAATTCCAGTTGTTTTGGCAACGACGGAGCCGTCGACATAATAAGCCCAAAAATTTGGTTGATTTTTGGGGAACGAAAAGTGTTCTACCCGTTGAAGGACTGCTTCAGCAATCAGGCCCGATAGGGGGAGTCTATAGGAGTGCATTAAATTTGTTCATACACATGCCCATCAAAAATTTGAAGGTATTAAGAAAGTGTCGGACTTCAGGGGCTTGTCCTTTCCCCTAGCGTTCAAGCGGTAGTAGATTCACAACGCAAGAGTAGGATGATCAAGGTACAATTTTCCTTTGATAGTTACAGTGTGATTCTGGGTTTTCGCACATAGTTTCGCTCACCGCAAAAAAACCAATGACCAATCCAAGCAGGTAGCAGCATTCGACTGGCTAGTGCACTCCGCAGGAAGAGGGGAAAGTTCACATTTCATTTCCGTGATTGCTGTTCAGAGCTTTTAGTGGGTAAACGAGCCCCGAAGCAAATCTCTCCAACCCCAAAAACACGAATTTCCAAAAAAGACAAACACCGACTGCTGATCTATAAAAACAGGTGTGTTAACTGGAAGTGTGAATCTTCCGTTTATTTGTTGTCTTTAAGCCTACCTTTGGATTCTTTGGAATCTGAAGTACGCACTCCCAACACATCTCCCTAAAGCATGAATCAGAATTTGGCCATCATGAGCTCGAGTTATGAATTTCTGTTACAGTTGGGCATACACTTACATTAACTATGGCAGAGGTCCTAGCAGGGCTTTAAATTAACAGATTTTGTTAGCCTTGTGCTTTTAGAGAGTCGATGCATTCAATAATTTTTGACACAACTGTTCTAATTTAGGGCCTGTGATGTTTGGGACGGAATTAATCAGACAGTATTCTTTCTGCGTCGGTCCTCATAAATAAACATCAGGCAATATGCTTTCACACACAATAATTGATTTAAAGTGAAGAAAAGTGGAGTATAACATGGGTAACTGAGACAACTGCGGTGCCAGAAAGCAATGCTTAGGCATTTGCTGTATTGTCGTCATGAAAAAATTAATGTTCTAAATAAGTTGACTCAATTTGTTCTAGTGATGGAAGGGTGCTTTGTTAAGGGCTTCACAATACAACAGGTTGCCTCACGCTTAATCCCAGTGGGTTTTCTTGCTCTCGTATCCTATCTTTAACTTCAACACTAACCCCTATGCTCCTAACCTCAACCCCAACATTAACCCCAATTGTAACTCCCTCTGGGGTTTAGGGAAAAGCCACCTATAAAACTGGGAGCCCGTATTCCCACGCCCAGTTGATAAAGGGAATAGGAAAGAACGGTTTCGATTCGCCCAAATGTTTAATAATTTTCGTACTGGGACACATTTAATTTTTGCAGGACAGTTAGACAATGAACACGGCCCGACGTAATCGTTCACAATTTCTACTCTGACTGAGGGGATGGTGTTAAACGGTAGGTCGATATTTGGCCTGATCGTGAAAACGGAATTCTGTGGGACACGCCTGAAGTTCTTTCTTACTTTTTTTATCTACACTGATGCACAAATGCCGATTTTCTGACTTTGAGTATAGTCCATTTCTCGGCAGCTTATGTCTTGCCAATAAAGCATAAGTTCGGTTACCATAAAACAATTGAGTTGATATTTCTTTAAGCTTGCAAACGTTCGATTTGTCCAGATTTGTCAAGGCGAATGATACTTCATTTGCCTGAACACTTGACTACACGTCTTCAAGAGTCAAAAACCAAGCACCGAACAGTGCTCAGTAATTACCTGTTAAATATGTCATAACTGCCAAAAGTGCAAAATAACAGCAAAAGCAGCAAATGACAGGCCTTGCAACAGCTTTTGAGTGCAGGGAACTTCTTGGATGCAGTAGATGAAACTGTTGGTTGGATAAATGAATCGTAATGTAGGTCTCCAAACCTAGGGCTGCGTATGACTTAGCTAGGGACGGCTACTAAGCAAGAAATGGTCACCTCAGTCCGCCTTTCCTTTGACTGAACTCCGGCCCTTTTATATATAATTGTCGCAATGTGACTGCCCGCGACAGCTTTAGGTTTAGCCTCCAGGGTCAGTGAGACGAGCGCGTCCCGTAACCTGATAGATGAATGCACTTACACCATAATTAGTATTTTTAAAATATTGAGACTGTGGATAGGTAAGCTACTCAATTTTGAAACAGTCTGTTCGTTTTAATATTTTTGGTGAGTTTGTGTCGAGGTGCCGGCCACAGGCCGTTTACATTCACTTCGCATTCTCACTCCGACAAAGTGAATCCTCGGGAGATCCGTCATCTGGACTACATTTCCCAGTTCATCTCAGATATCTGTCACATCGACGGTTCGCAGAATGAGATGGCTGACGCTCTGCCCAGGCTCTCAATCGCCCAACTTCAATTTTTTCCCCGAATCGACCTCACTGAGACGGTTGCCGAACAACTCCGTACTGAGTTTCCCAATGGCATGGATGTTTCCGGACTCCAACTCGAGGACATCCCACTGAGTGCTGGCGACGACATTCTGTGCAATGTCTCCACCGACTCCCACTGCCCTTTCGTGTTGTCGTCTCTTCGCCGCAAGGTCGTCTCCTCCCTCCACAACCTCTCGCGCCTAGGATTGGAGCAAACGACAAACTGGTCGATTTGTGCTTCGTCTGGCCCGGGATGCATAAAGACCTGAAGGCTTGGACACGCGTGTGGCCCGTCTGCCTGCAGAGCAAGCCCCAGCGGTACAACAAGGCTCCCATCGGCGTCTTTACCAGCCCTGATACAAGGTTTATCCACGTCTGCCCGGACATTGTAGGTCCCTCGCCTCTGCCCAATGGCTGTTCCCATCCCCTAATCTGCGTGGATCGTTTCACCTGCTGGCCGGAAGTTATCCCTCTACCCGATGTCACTACTCCAACAGTCGTCAAGGCTTTTACCAGTCGTTGGGTTTAAATTTTCGGTGCTCCTTCCATTATCCCGACTGATCGCGATGCCCAATTTGAGTCTCACTTATTCCAGGTTCTCCTCTTCTTTTAAGGCTTCAACTGCATCTGCACGACAGCCTATCACACTCCTGCCAACGTTCGCGTCCAACGTGGGGCTCTCGAGAAGGTTCTAAGCGTGGATCGCCTGAAATGTGCTCTCTCGTATACTCTTTTGAGCGAGCCCTCTGGTCCTATCCCCCCCTGATTCTCCATCCCTTCTGCTCCCCGTCCCTCAATGTCCGTTGTTACTAACTGCAACTACTTTGTAATCAGCCTCTAACATTCCATCCGCAGGACAAATCCTTTCTTCTCCTGTTTCTCTTTGTCACCCCCAGTCAGCGTCACGTTTTCCTCCCTAACCGTCTCGATACTCATTTCTTTTAGATTTGTACATATCTCTCGGCGTCGAATTACGTCACCTTCTAGTCTCCGATGTGCCGAATTACCAGACTAATTAAGCTTTAACTGTCTGGTCACTTTTCTATAACTAATGGTTATTTGAAGGCAACCGACACAATGTTGAAGGGGGACACGCGTAACACACCTGTACTTGGAGATCCGGTGCTTGATTTTGGAATCCTAGTCCTATTCACCTACTAGTCTTTCCTTCTGCCGTTTAAGGCTGGTACACATAACTGAAAATGAGGGCTCGTACCATACGGCTAGTCGATAGTGTAACATCCTCGATAAGTTTTATGCAAAGCGCTCCACAGAGCACAAACCAAACCGAACGATAGGACTTTCACAATATGAGCCCGTAAATAGGAATTTTATTGGAAGAACTTTAATCAAGGGATGACCGAGGACCAACGGGGAAACTGCAATATGAGACCAGAAATCGGAGATAAAAGACTGAGTTTGACGTTATGCGATCAGTCCAAACCGCAGGACGCGCTATGGACGATTAACTTTTGGTTTATAACTCCGCTCTACAATCCCACAGGAGGTGGCATAACAATGGGTAATTTACACCTGAAGGGTATTCCGCAAGGTAAGGACACATTCAAATGACAAGTCCCATATTGTTTTTCGTTGAAAGACAGTCTTTCCTTATTCGCGGTCCAGGAAGAACCGAGATTCGAACTTGCGTTCTGTATACGCGCTAATACGTGTAGCCATTGTACAACAGACTCACCCCCTGACACGATCATGGTATCGAATGAGCGTGCCATGCTTTCCGTTTGGGCTACGGTCTAAGACAGTCATAATCAATCTCATAACGATGATCAATCAGTGACCAGTTTGTGAGACCTCAGCCTGGAGCAAAGCATATTAAGCAAGGCCCAAGTTGAATAAATATTGTTCTTCCTAATAATTTTCCCACAATTTCTTGTCGATGTTTAGATTGTTTTAGCTGAGAAATCTATTCGTTCTCCACAGTTCTTTAAGGTAATCTTATGACATCCAGCAAAATCGATACTGCAGCCCGGTTGAAAATATAAGGCAATAAGCGTTCCGTGTGCGTAGTACAAGTTAGCTGAGAAATATAAGGAGAAAGAGTGCACACGAGTCGCGGAAATGTCGTACAAAACTAGGTTTAATAAATATAAAACATTCCACAATTACACGCAACATGGCTGAACTTAGGTACTTTTACTTACTGTTTGCAATTCGCCTGTCGCTGTTATCGCGGTCGACACAGTCTTCATCTCCTCATAAGGGAAGAATTACGAATGCATACCTCTAGGGTGATTTTCGAATATGCATTTTGCGGATTTCAAAACACAAACATGTTTCGTTTCCGTTTGGTGACTTTACATTCGGTGACCTGGTGGGTATGTAGCTGCAGTGGGCTGACTTCATGCACTGGCCAATGATCTTTATTTGAGTCAGTATGTCGGCGGTGGAGCACGCGTCTAACATCCGTTGTTTTTCGTTCATTTGTTTTGTCACGCCTTGCTCCTATTTAAACTTTCGTGCTTTTTATGTCAATTACATGATATTTCATCCGGAAGATGACTTTTCTCAAAAAAGTAAGTGCTTCTTATCCTATGCCGAGGGTTCACCTATCCCTATCTAACGTGTGTACTGATTTTCATAAATGCGACGGAAACTTTAGTCAGTGAACTAGTCATAGGTTTGCAAAAATCTCATTGAAAAATTCAGAGGATAATTTGACGAGCACACGCCAGCTTCCGATGAATTCTTTTCAAGTCCATACATTTATATTGTTAATGAAAGAATGGATTAAAGATACGGACAATTAGATATAGGCTGTAGCTTGGGTTTGCGGAGGGAGGGGATAGTTAAACATATGATGGGCACCGAGAAAGGTAATAATATACGGATAGCTTGCTTGGTGGCTTGGGGCCATGGCACTACTCATGGTTTTCGGTGTCAAATTAAGTTTGCCAAAGTGAACATTCACAAGTGTAAGTTCTGTGGGAAACCGAAAAACGTGCACCGACGAGCTTGATGACTCAGTGAGACAGGAGGCAAGAATGATCGACTTACACGTTAAGTTGTTGGCATCCTTCGTTAAGCAGTTAGACTGTTCGGCTGGAGTATACTTTTAACGCAAACCAGCCAAAGATAGTGAAGAGATAGCCAAATCAAGTTTATGGGTCCATTTGTGATCAGAAAGACAACCTAACGGATCTTTGTGAAGCAGAGGGAGTGCAGCATCGTGTTTAAATGAGTATATGAGCGCGAGAACTTAATTACTGAACCCTATGAGACTGTAGAGGTGCAAAACCACACTTTAGCAACGGCCGCAGTTTAGCCTAAGACTAGTAGACTCCATATTAGTTGGGGAAAAAATCGACACACATGGCAGTTCGACCGTCGCATCCGACGATGTCCACCGTCTGCTCCACAGTAGAGAGAGAGCATGGACAGTGAATTGCGCGTGACTTATAGTGAGAGTAGACTTGCGCTGCATCCACCACACTCCCTCCTCCACTCCCACCTGGACCCGGTGTAAAGACAGAGTCAATACGACCGGATACGGAGGGCGCGGGTGGATGGCACGGGCGAACCCGCACCTTGACGCTCCACTCTCCACCTCTTGGTCAACACAACAAATAACCAGGTTTTTGACCAACAACCAAGAAAATGGAGGCTGGCACGGCCGAAGCCGCACCTAGGCGTGCCGCCACATTCGGCTCGGATCCCACGGAGTTGGAATGCTATAAAGGCCACATTAAGAAGTAACCAATGTAGCCTAACTCTCAGACCACCAACCGGCCACTCCACAGCTGCAGCACACACAACACTGGGCCGACTGCGAGGTCCAAGTTACCCCGTCAGTTGGCAACCTTCCAAGCCATGGCTTTTAACGCCCCGTGATAGCTTCAAGCGCGTCAGATTGTTTATAGTGAGGAGAATGCGCTGAGTCGTCGACATCACTCTCCCTTTCCATTCCCATACCTTAGACACTGTTCGTGCCGGCCTACAGACTGGAGTGGGGAATGGGCGCGGTGGCTGACATGGTCTGGTGACCTTGTCTGCGCGCGTCACATGCACGACCTGGCTCCCAAAACACAAGCACCAGGATTTTACACAACGGGGATTGAGCGGCGTATCTCTCACATGTGTGAGAATGTCGTAGAAAGAGCTGTTTCAGACTGGCTCTCAGCACACCAGTCCGCCACTCCACACAAACACAAAAACAACTTGACGGACTGCGTGGACCGAGTTGGGACCTCAGTCAGCAGCCTTTTAATCCATGGCGCTTGAAGCACCGGGGTAGTCTTAGGCTCGAGTCACCCATGCAACAGGAGCCGCACGGAGACCAGGCTGAGATACACACTTCCCACTTGCGCAGGAGGTGTCAATTGGATGCCTTTGGTTGGTGATGCTGATGTGCAAGGAGATGGTGGCGAGGGAGGCTGTGATGATGTGGTGCAGCCGGCGGTTGTCTACCGCAGGTTTTCTTGGATGCGCATGTGACAGAATGGACACATGCGGTGCATGAATGTGCGAAAGCAGTGTAGGCAGTGGAGGCGGATACGGTGGGTGTGGGTTGGTGCTTCAGGCATTGGTCTGCCAGTCTCTGTACGATGGATTCGCAAGTGACCGACCAAGTCGATGCGTGAGATGAATGTGCGGGGACAATGTGGACAGGAGAAGTCGGTGGTGCCGGTGTCAGCTATGGAGATGAGATGCTGGTGGGCGCACTGAGCGACAGGTTGTGGGTGGGGCTGAGCGTTATGGGTTTGCAGCGGGCACTAGGTGTGATGGGACTGGTGGCGGTGGGCGCGAAGGGCCAAGGAGTGAGGGAGGGCTAGGCATGGTGGGTGTGCTCGAAGTGTCGGGACTGCGGCCAATTCCACCCTCGTGGATACGCATGTGGCTGAATAAGCCCACGCGATGCATTAATGTGCGACGGCAGTGTGGACAGTGGAGGCGGTCGCGGCGGGTGTAGGTTGGTGCTCCAGGCACGGGTTCGCCAGTCTCTGTGCGATGGATCCGCAAGTCCGACCAGGCCGATGTGTGAGGTAAAGATGCGGTCGCAGTTAGGACAGGTGTAGTCTTGGTCCTTACTTCTGGTGTCGTCGGTGATGGTGCTGGTGTTTGCTGGTGTGTCAGGATTGTGTGTCATGTTGGTGTGAGTGGCAGACGCCACAATGGCAGAGGGTGAGGCAGTGCGGGAGGAGGAGGAGGAGGAGGAGGAGGAGGAGGAGGAGGAGGAGGAGGAGGTGAAGAGGAAGAAGAAGAAGGATGGAAGTACTGGTTCAGGAGGGTGGTCAGACTTTGTTGACGGCGTAGAGGACGAAGAAGAGGTGGACGGAGTGTCGACGGTTGGTGCAGTCCGGACGGTGCAGTTGATCCGAAGGTGTCTAATAATTCCAACTGGCTTCGTGAATGTCCGCTGACACCGTGGACACGTTGAAGTCGGTCGTGCGTTGGCACTGCGAGGTGAGCGCAGCTGAGATTTGCGGACTCCGCGTCTGACTTTCGCGGCGGCAATGCGGTTGGCTTCGTAGATCGCAGCGCCTGTCTTCACTGTCCTGCTAGAGGTCGATCGGTCTCGAGCGAGTTCTTCCCAGTTGGCCGGATTAATTTGCAGGCGTTTCAGAGAGGACTTCAAAGTATCCTTGTATCGACGAATTTGGCCTCCTTGGCGACGAGAACCTGTGGCGACGTCTCCACAGAAGAATCGTTAGGGTAGTCGCTCGTCGTCCATGCGCACCAGGTGGCCGCTCCAACGCAGCTGTATTTGTTTCAGCATGGTGCAGATGCTGAGGATTCCCGACCGTCCCAGCACATCAGTGTCGGGGATTCGATCCTGCCAGCTCAGCCTCAGAATGCGACGGAGACAACTGAGGTGGAAGTGGCTCAGTCGGCGTGCCTGCTTCGTGTACGCCGTCCAAGTCTTTGCTCTATATAGCAGCGTCGGGAGGATTACGACCTTGTACACTTTCAGTTTCGTGCTGAGCTGGAGACCGTCACGATTCCAAACTGCGTCCTGGAGACGTCCGAAGGCTTGAATGGCCTTCGAAATCCTACGGGCCACTTCGTCGTCGATTTTGGTGCTGCGAGAGAGGGTACCGCCCAGATACATGATGTTGTCCACCACTTGCAGTTGGGTTCCGTTCACGCTGATTTGCAGCGCGTTGTGGGGGGCTGTGTTGGGTGGCGTTTCGTGTATGACCACAGTCTTCTCCGTGTTGATGACTAGACCGAAGTCCTCGCAGGCGGCAGAGAAGAGATCCATGCTCCTTTTCGTGTCCTCTTCCGAGGTGATGCTTAGGGCGCAGTCGTCGGCGCAGAGAAGTTCGTGAACTGAAGTTGTGGAAACACGTGAAAGGAAGTGCATCCGCCTGTGGTTGAGGAGGTGGCCGTCCGTCCTGTAGGCGATGCCGATTCCAGGGCGTTCGTGACGGTAGACGTCTATCAGCATGGCAGAGAATATAAGACTAAAGAGGGTGGGCGCCAGGACGCATCTCTGCTTCACTCCGTTGGTCACTGTGAATGCCTCTGAGACAGCTCCATTGTCTGTGACTCACGCCATCATGCCATCGCGGAGCTGACGTACCATCACAATGAATCGCTCGCGACAGCCGAATTTCTGTATGATTTTCCACAGTCCTTCGCGATTCACCGTGTCAAAGTCTTTCGTCATGTCCAGGAAGGTGGAGTGCAGGTGGGGCCTCATCTCCTGGCACTTCTCCTGAAGTTGGCGGGCAGCAAAGTTCATGTCCGTGGTCCCACGATGACGCCGGAAGCCGCACTGGCTTCCTGACAGGAAACCTTGTTCTAGGTGGTTGTTCAGGCGGATGAGAAGGATGCGAGAAAAGATTTTCCAGGTGATGTTGAGCAAGGAGATGCCTCGGTGGTTGTCGCAGAGCTGGCGGTTTTATTTCCGTTTGTATAGATGCACGACTGTAGCACCCTTGAAATCCTGTGGGACTTCTCCTTGACGACACATCTCCTGGAAGAGCGCTGCCAGATGATCCGTGAGTTGAAGGCCACCGTGCTTGTAGATCTCAGCAGGGATCACGTTCGATCCGGACGATTTCCCGCTGAGGTGCTGTTGCGCAACCATGATGGTTTCGTGGAGAGAAGGTGGGGGGTCGAGGTCGACGTTGGTCTCCACTTGCGGCAGACGGCGACGGCGGTGTCGGAGATGGTGGAGGGGCGGTTGAGGACGCCTCCTAAGTGTTCGACCCATCGCTGTAGAGTTTGTGTCTTCTCGGTTAGTAGGATAGTTCCTTCGGCGTTGAGAAGAGGTGCAGCTGCCTTAATTGGCGGACCGTAGACCGTTTCGATCGCGGAGAAGAAGTTCTTCCATTCGATGCGTTCAGCGTCCCCTTGGATCCCCTCGGCCTTGCGAGCCATCCAGGCGTCCTGCATCTCGCGCAGCCACTGTTTTACAAAGCGACGACTACGGTAGAAGGTTGATCTGTTGTGGTCGGCGGGGCGGTCGACGTAGGTTTTGTGCAGGCGGTTCTTCCCGGCGAGCAGTTTTCTGATGGCGGCGTCGTTGTCATTGAGCGAGTCCTGATATCAGTGACGTGCGTGACCGAGGATAGCCAAGGTCGTCGACTGGACTGTCTCCTGCAGTTGACACCGCTGGTTCTACACGGAGTTGTTCTCGTCAGTGGCGGCGGCGGCGGTGGCGGCAGCGACTGGAAGGCTGTCTAGCCATTGAGCTAGTTCGTTGCTGAAATGGAGATGGTGAGCGGGCAAAGACAACAAGGCGATATTCAGCTTACTTGGGGGTCAATTACCTTGAGGGCTTCTTTGAGGCTGTAGACAAATCCGCATCTTGGAGATGACGGAAAGATGGTCAGTCCACCTGTCGGCACGCGGGGTCGCCTTTCTCACCAGCACGTCCCGCTGATCTCGCATCTGGACGAGGACATAGTCCAGCATGCGCCACTGATGCGACGCAGAATGAATCTAGGTGGCCTTCTTTCGCATCAACATACAGAAGAAGGTGTTCGTCAGGATGAGGCGGTGTTCTGCGCAGGTTCGTAGAAGGAGCAGGCCATTGTCGTTGTAGCCGTTGAGACCAGAGGGACCTAGCAATCCTCTCCAGACTGCATGGTCCGTGCCGACGCGGGTGTTGAAGTCACCAAGGACAATCAACTTATCCGCCTTGGGCACGGACGCCAGGAGAGCATGCAGGTCCTCGTAGAATTTGTCTCTTGCGGCGTCAGGACTGGTCATCGGCGAAGCGTAGGCGCTGATGATGGTGGCGAATTTGCCCCCTCCCCCCCCCTCCCCCCCCCCGAAGAGGCAGGCGGAGGCTCACCAGACGATTGTTGATGCCGTGCGGCAGACAGGGCAGTCATCCCACAGTGTCGTTTCGGATGGCGAAGGCGACACTCGCGTCCCGTGGCTCTGCCTTGGGGCGACCGCTTCAGAAGAAAGTGTAGCCGGCACCCACCCCCTCCTGTTTGCCTTGTTCGGAGTGCAGCGATGTCCACCTTGTAGCGCGCCAGTTCCCGAGCCACTAGCGCCGTTATCCGTTGCGGCCGGTTGCTCCTCGAATTGTCTAAAAGGGGACGAACATTCCAGGCTGCCAGAGTGAGCTGATTCACCCTACCAGTTTGGCAATTTGGGCGGCTGGAAGGAGGGGGAAAATAAGAAGAAGAAGAAGAAGAAGAAGAAGCAGAGGCAAGAAGAGGAAGAGAGAGTGTTGTTTTTGTTTACTTGTTGATTGTTTCAACCGCGAGTTTAACGTCTGTGTCCATGGTCAGCCTGCGGACGGCGTGGTTCCCAAGCATTTCTTTAGAGCACCTTTTTTAGCCCCTCCCCCCTTGCCGGGGGCAAACAGTGCCGCCCTAAATAGGGTTCCTCGGTAGTGTCAGGCGCCGCCGAACTCCACTATGGGCCACGGCTTTGGTGTAGTGGAAGAACAACTTCAGTTAGCCTGGAGAGCTTACGACATCGCCGTAAGCTTGTGGCCCCCTGCTGTGCACCAGACGTAGCTCCGCCTCGAGGATGCCGACCAACCGCCCAGCGGAGTCCACAATACCGTGCGCGCAGATGCCCACACGGATACCCTCTCTTGGTTTAGCCCACCGGTCGAGGCGGTTACCGGGTGTGGCCGCTAGGCAGAGCCTAGCTTTGGGAGCCACATGTGAGGGTTGGGTGTCAGCAAATGGACGCTAGGCGTAGTCTACACCTGCAAGCGAGTGAGTGACTTACTACGACCGTCACGTGAACCACTGCTGGACACCCTTACACCCCAACCGACATACCTAGTGTGCACGTCCCTAACCTTATTGAACCGCTGTTTTACAAGGATTTCGAACGCAAAGAAGCAGGTGAAGTAGTCACGAATGGTTATCGCAGCAGTTTGATTGGCATCGTGCAGTGGATTTACAGAATAGGCAAACGCTAGGAAATCCATGAGCTTGTGGGCTACTTTTCGATATTGCGTCAGTCTGGCGATATATGTGCGATAGCTTGGCTCTACTACTTCCTCCCAATCTGACATCACTTCATTTGCGCACTCACATATTTGTCGGGAAAGATCTATGACCTGTGACGACCACAAGCGTTTACGCAGGTCAATCCAGTTTCAGTCAGCGAAAAATGAATAATTACGTCTACTGAGCCTTCGACATTACGCTCTTTTTTCGGCACCTGCCAACGCCTAACTACCTACTTTAAAAACTATCCTTCGGGGCCACTCCAAATGAACTAACGCATTTATCCGGACCGGATCGCTCGCAAATATCTACAGCCTTGGCAATACGTTTGTGGAACCCAGGCAGCTTTCCACTCCTATTGGGTCCTACCTTATTCTCACTTACTCTTCCGATAGAAATCTTCCAACGCACGGATATTTTCAGTTTGACGAATCTCAGTCGCTGGTCCAGTCCCAGGCATACTACCGTAGCCCACACAGGGAGGTTACCGAATACGTCCAACTGTTTTTTTGCATTTTCGTCGAATTGCAAGGAATTCATAATTTTTGAATCTGTTGTTCCGGGGGTTGGCCAGACAACTTTATCCGTGACCGCTTCGGATGACATCTTTGACGCTAAAGTACTAGCGATTCCTCATGAAAAGTGCTTTAATTAGACAGAAAATGTACAAACACGTTTGCGCACAAACTGGTCTCAATCTCGCCTCGACTCGGTGTTTTTGACGATCAACAGAGAGTTAGTCATCACTGGCGTAAATCTTCCAATATATAAACGTGCCGTTATATCCATAGGTATTGCAGTCAGCTCCAACCTGCCTCTACAGCCTCACAAGAACATAAAATCTTACCGGAACGCAAACACTCAAGTTCTATGCAGTCTGGCTTCCCCATCACACTTGCAAGTTCCAGACACGATATCAAAACTGTGCGAACCTTTACCCAGTGATACACAATAGCCGTGAAATTCAAAGTATCTGTGAAGGTAGCTACGCAGTTTGACCGTGGACTACACAGATAATACAAGGGGGGTTCTAGATAATTAGGTTGTGACGGCAATGTTGAAGGCGAAATTCGCCTGATTACTTTAGTAGGTACAAGCGATTGAGAAACACAATCTACATTCTGATACGACGCAACTAGATTGGATACCGGGACAGGCTAGTTGACACGGCTAGAGCTCACTTTAAAAAACACTACGCTGCATCTGCCTGTGAAGCAAAATCAACCAGTACCTGACTGTATTCAGGAGAAGCACCGGTGATTTCTGCGTAAAGAATGGTGAAAGAACAGCCTCCACACTGGCTGAGCAATTTGCCGGACGTTCTTTGTAGAAGGCGGAACTCATATGCCAATTTTACCTCAGGCCCTTTTTCCAAACAGACAATTTGGCAATTTAAGAAAAAGCAGTCAGTAGTTAATAACAGGGTTGGGAACCTGACGAGTCTTCTATGTTGTATGCTCTGTGCACAACACTTCTGGAACTTGTCGCTCCAGTACTGGCCACCTTCTCAGTCTTCAACACCCTTTCTAGTAGAATAATCATCCGGATGATTGTGTGCATACTCCAGCTACCCCTCTGCATAGAAAACGCTCTCTATGGTTAGCGGCAAGCTACCGAACGGTCAGGATTGCTGTTGCGTCTTGAGAAAAATGGGGAAGTCACCCATAATTATCTGGTCTATTTTATGAACGAGCATGGTTTTATAAGTCCAAGTCAGAAGGGACTTCTTAAAGGACGACAATGTGTTCCGAATATTCAACAAACATAATCAACTGTATTCGTAAAACTCGGAGAACCCTTTGGCTCAGCTAGCCGCTGGCCAGTTATTGGGGAGCTTATTACACAAAGTCTAGCTGAAAACAAAACCAAATGGGCTAAGTTCTTAGGCCATAGGAACTTCCTCACACCTCTTCGAGAAATTTCGTCACTTGGTTTGTCGGCTTCTAGCGATATTTTGTTGGGGCCTGTGGTACTGTCGTCGCTCTTTTTGCCTACGTCAATAACCTCCCAAAGATCGTTCCTGTCAGCTGTATAATATTTACAAATAATATTAAGCTCTTAGGCCAGACCCCAGAACATCTGGGGTGAACATTTTATTCGAGTGTTTATGTGTTGGGCAATAGATTCTCGCAGTTTAATGCGCCCACGCACAGCATTAGGTGACGAAACGGCCCCACGAACTGAATTTGCTCTCCACTTAGTGCTACCGGAACGCTACTTATAAGCAACCGCCAAGACTTTAAACCAGATGTCTTATATTCGCAGGCCTCTCCATCACCTTACGGTACGATCTCTCACACGCAGTATACAATGTTTGTGTACCTTCACCCCGACCATTGCTCACTAGTGTAGTCTCTACAACTTCTGTGCGGAATACTGGCCTTGAAAAAGGGTCAGTCGTAGGCAAGTAACTTTATTCATCCTATCTCTAACCTGACTGCGGAGGAGAACGTGGATAGGCGTTAGCTACCCACTTAAGAGAAGGGGATAGCACACAGACCTTATATAAACATAGAAACTAACCAGCCTGTAGACGATGGGGAGATCGCTGTTATTTCACAGCTATAGTGTGCGAGATTTTCAGCAGACCTTAGAAAACTGAGTAAGCCTTTAAGAAGAAGCGTCTTGGTTCCATGTGGGGGTTAAGGCGGTCTATTGTGACATAGCCAAAGACATGGTTATTCAGGGTTCCCACTACAAGTCACCTGTCCAGCATAGTCTACTGGCGCTGTGATGGCACACAGTGTCTGCCCATCTTGTATTTCAAAACCTTGTTTTGATATTACTTTTAAATAAGAGCTGCTTCCCTACTTGACCTTTTTCACCGCTCTGTGGCCATCTCCACGTCTTATCTGGGTTACCAGTTTTCTAATTTTAAGTTCTTAACTTTCAGTGTTTTGGTAGTACCATTTTTAGCAACCACGGTTTTCCAGTCTGCTGGTTGTCCTACACTTGGCGTTCCACTTAGTTTTCAACTGATCAATTCAGAATTTCGCTCTAGCTTACCACTTCTAGAGATCCCAGCAGAAACTAGCCAACATACACGCGAGTCTTTCATACGCCGAAAAATCAACCAATCTTACCCCTCTCTGCTTGGGTGAGCCACTTACTGTGCCTCCCTCGATCACTGTAGTTCATGTTGGAGTCACCCGGGTAAATAAAGATAACTATCATGTCCGAAGGAAGAACTATTGCGAGATCGCCTCCAATTATAAAAGCTTTTCTGCATTCCAGAGGTCAGACGAATAAATGCGTAGGGCTGTTCTCTTCTGCCAAGGCTTTATTAGCTTAATTAGGAACTCAAACATCAAATTCAACTTGTTCAAATGACACGAAATATTTTCCGCATGTCTGAGTTCGTGCAGTTTGAGAAACGCTGTCTAAACCAAAGTGCGTCAAATGTGTGTGTGTGTCTGCCGTTCTTCCCTTGCAATAAAAAATGACAATGGTTTCTTTTAAAGTATTTATTGGAATATTCAGAGGATTTTTGAAAATTCGCAGGCCACTGTCAGACCATTATATCTGTTTTTCAAAATTTACCAAAGTTGCCGATGTCCACCAATTTTGGGAAATTATTTCGAAAATCCATAATTCAAATCGATCGCCACCACATCCTTCTAGAAAGCTGCCCACAAGAGATCTCAGGGTTCATTTAGACTTTCTGAATCACGTTCTTCATCTTTGGGTTCCCTTCTTGATTCCAAACTATCAATGGTCTTCACTGCATAATTAACTTGTTCCTCCAGGCGCTCAACACGCAGCTGAAGCAATTTAGTTCGGTTTTTGTATTCTCTGGCCTCAAGTTCTGCAGCATTCAGCCTTCAAGAATATACAGTTAAAAAATTACAGCTTTAGTTTACCGTAAGGATTTGAGAAAACTCGTAGAAATCAAATAATAATCTACACCACTATGATGGGCTGTTCCTAAAAAATAAAAACAGAAGCGCTGCCCATTTCGACAAGGAATCGTTATTTTTGTTTGTATTTTCTATTCTTTCATTTAGGGCACAAAATTCACAGTCCGCCTCACAGATGATAGAATTGGCGGTCGAATAACTTTCAATCATCTTTTAAGGGGTGGAGTCGAAATTTTGACAAGTCTTACTGAAGACCAACTGAACTACACCAGCTGGTGTTGCTCAATTGCACCAAGGAAGTTTTATAAGTCTTGGCATGATAGTAGTTAATGGACCCATTTAGCCTACCTTTTCATGAGCGATCTCCTCTGCAGCTGAAGTTCTTGCAACCTTTTGTTGGACTCCGCCTCGAAGGCTGCCTGCCTTCTGATGGCCTTTTTGGATGTTTGTTTCATTTTTTCCTTCGACTCCCTTAATAACCGAATGTATTTATTTTCCATCATAGTCCTTTCTTCAAGCAGTTGGTGATCACGACCTTGTTGCCTTTCGAGTTGATCATTCAACTGGAAGACGAGATTAATCAGTTCGTAGGTGAGTTTGGTTTGGTTGTTGGATGCAACACTTTCATCTCCCGCAACCAGCTCTCTTACTTGTACCTCGTTAACATCAGTGTATGCCTAAATGGTTTAAGAATAAGTAAAATAATTTCAATGGATTTTCACTTAGTTTTCACTATAAGTGGGAGGAAACTAGGTGAGACTGCCCATTCAAAAAAACCGACTAGTTTTTAAAAATGTCAAGATGAAGAAAATAAAAAGAACCAAAGCAAATCCAACAGTCAAACAACGATAATGCAAACGAAATAACTCCATTTGGCTTATGGATGCTCATCAACAGGATTTCACGAGCCTCAAATGACTTTGGTTTAATTCTTGGAAATGGTTGCCCTGAGGCGAACCTAATAGTTTAGTTGCCGGTCGAAGTCGTGGACATTTTACGTCGCTCACTAAAGCCACAGTGAGATTGTGTTCATGAGAAAGATTGACAGGAAACTTAAGCCATGACGGTTGGAATCAGCACACGACAACTGGCTTTGCAGTTTACATAAGATGGCAGAGGTGAAGAAGATACATGTGCGGATGAGTTGATGCCTCTTGAAAGGCAAATTGCTCTCAGCGGTTTACGAAGTTCCATGTCATTATTTAGAGACCAAAACAAGATGACCGAGATGGACTTAAAAAAATCAGCCACAGTCGGCCTGATAAGGATTTTACCCGACGAAAAATCAAAGAACCCATCAGACCAAACTACCCTCTGTTGAGGTTATGACTGGTAAGTTACTCAGTTCTCGAACCCGCCACGCGGCCACCGAAAAATCAAACCAACAAAGAAAGAAAAACTTATCAGTCTAGAGCCGGTTAGCTCAGGCAGTCACCTAGATTTATGTCCGATTTTAATGCGTTTAAGACTTTGACAGTGACTAGCTGACCAAGCTATTTGAAACACAGTTATTCAGTAAGGTTGTCCTACTGAACAGTTATTCATCCTTAGTTTTCGGCTCATTATGCCATTGAACTAGCGTACTCGAACTTTAGGTGCGGTTATTTGCAACAGAAATGGAATATGGCATTCGAAGCAAGTTAACAGCGAAGAACGTCATAAACAAGAATCAGAACTTTAAACACCTGCTTTTGGTTACTGGTTTATTAAAACTTACGGAAGCATCACATTTTCTGGTTTCTTAAAAGACAAATTCAGAGCTTAGTATTTCTAGTAGTTTGGAAAACCACCAAGCATTTGAAAAAGGCGTAACGAAGAGTGCAGTGGTGTCATACTTATTGCAGAACATTCTTGCTAACACAAGTGCTGGATTTATAGCGCAAAAAATTTGTACCTGAAAGGTTGGTGATAATACGGAGATTTGTCGAAGTAAAGGACACAGTTCGTTGAAATTCCTTCGCCGCCAACGAAAGTTCGTTTTCAACGGCATCGGAAATAGCATCATACTTCTCAGCAGCTAGCTTAAATAGAAAAACGTGGGTGGAAGTTAAATAAGTTTCGTCAGAGGATATTTTTATTGGTGAACGACAAGGGAGATTGTAAGACTTGATCATTCCTATTGATCTGTTAGAGTAAAAATGGAGTACCATCTGTAAATTATAATAAAGTCGGCTGTGGCAGAGGGGCGCTAATAGGTCGCGTTACGGGTCACAATCTTTTCGTAGCGCCTTGGGATTCAGTCTTGATTTCCGCAGTAGCCGCCCAACGGCCAGTATTATAGGTGGGATGACATTACAGGGGAACTAGAACGGTTGTTTTTGGTCTACTCGTTGTCGTTAGCCCGCCGCACCTAACACTGGCTTTTGCAAGCCTTGGGCGTTGTAATTTGAACTCAAAGCTCGCGGATTCGAGCCTCAGGGGTCGCAAAACCTGGGGTTAGATATGACCGGCTGATGACGCCTAATAAGTCAGAAATTGCCATTCCGGTCTCTCGTCTTTTTCAGCACTGCCAAGGGCAAGTGTCTCTGACGGTAGTTCAGAGTGAAAATCCGAAACGTCGGGCTAATAAACCTCTTGTTTCGGCTATCACATCCTCTTTTTAAATTCCAAACGGTTTTAGAGAAATAGGGTAGGAACTAGAATAGCGATTTTTGGCTTATTTGTTGTTGTAAACCGTTCAAACCCCAAAATGCAGCGGAACAGACCCGTGACTGAAGCCTGAATCAGTTGGTAATCGATCATTTGGGCCAAACACCACTCATTAAGTCAAAGGAGCACACCCTGTTGGATAAACCGGTGAATGCCACTCGAACGATATCAATAACAAGGCCACTAAGTTTTGCGCCCGCATTCGGCAGATTCACACCCTAGTCATGATTCATGAGGACTGAATTATCAAGAATCAAATACCATATATGTAAGTGACACCAGCGTAACTACCTCACCTGCCACGCTTTTGTGAGGATCAAAACTGTGATGGTTAAATGACATTAATGCAGATTAGTGAAATATCACTTAAACAATTTTAAGTTTGCATACTTAGAATGTTTAAGAGGAGAACTCTTTGAAGATAGTAGTTTTCGAAAAAGAGGCTTTGCCTCTTGAAATGTACATTTTAGCGAATGTGAGTTCATACTTGATAGGCTGAATATCTGGAACCAGGCCGCAGTGTATTGGACTGATGCGCCTGAGGACTTCAAAAACGAAGAACAGCAAACAAAAATAATCGATGATGTTGGTATTAAAGGTAATCAATTTTGGGCTGACGTGGAATCTGAAAGGATACCAATTTTGAGAGTTCATAGCCTACGCCGCAGTAAATACCTATGTTAACAGTTGAGTCAGCAGTCTGTTCCCGTAGAGGCAAAAAAGCGAAGCGATAGATTTAATTAGTACCAGATCATCTATTTCTGGTCAGGCGTTGCAAAGTCTCTCAGTTCTTGTCCTGAAGCCTGCAGTAGGCAGCTTATCTAGTAAGTCCGCACAGGTTTGAGACACTGGACCGGTCATTTATGGGTTATTTTTTCCATCAGGCATGGGGAACCCGAACCCCCTTTGACGGAGCGTCTGAGGTTTAAACTCGAGTCCAGTGAGCCACAGAGCATTTGCCCATTAAAACTTTCTCAACATTAAGCTACTGCAACCTTTTTGCACGCAACTTTTCGGGATAGGAAGGATGGCTAACTTCTGACGAGATATTAAAGCCTGTCCAATTCAGATAGAAAATGCCATAGAATGCAGTTTACCTACGATTTGTGTCTAGAAAATCCAATACCTGGGTGTCCAAATGGCAAAGTAAATCTCTGTATGGCTTAACTACGTTTAACAAATCTCCAGTATTGGGTTTGTCCCAATGGCGAGGGCAAATTATGGCATTGTTGGTGTGCATACGCCATCTTGTTCGACAACACCTCACCTACATCAGAAAGCAGCAACTTAGTATACATGAGATTTAAAGTTTACACGAATGGAAGCGAATATCCGAGTCTTAGGTTCTTATTGCAAAGAAGATAAACACGTGATGACTGGGACAATACAGGTGTTAGTACGAACTTTCGGTCGCGTACAGGAGGTTATCATCAGAGACTGTGAAAGTGCAACATAACATGAGTAATTTTTGTGGTCTGCCAAAGAAGAGGGGGAGGCAGGGGTTGTGTTCTCGACAGGGCTGGGCCTAAGCCATACCACGGAGTCGCCACGGCGTGCGTCCTTGACTGGGAATGGGGTCGCGCCTCTTGGTCGTGTGAGCGAAGTGCGTGGTAGTAGGAGGGGGTATATCAACGTGTCTGTTGGTGGAGTTGGTGTCAGACATCCGGGGATCCAGCAGTTCCCGCCTCGTCCTGTTGTTAGCTCGCGCCAGTATCCGCGCACTCGCGTAGTCTACTTCTTGGCCAATCTCCAGGGTACGAACAGCGACCTGAGACAGTGGGCCGTCCTTCCGGACTGCCCGTTTATGCTCCATTATTCGCAAACTAAGTCGCCGACTGGTCTGGACTGTATAATGATGAGGACAGGCACGGCATGGGATCTGATAGTGGATTCCTGTATAAGACCAAAAGTTCAGACTAATACGTGCATTGTCCCGGTGATTGCCTGTTTGTCTTCTTTACATTAGTAATTTATTTGTTGAAGTTCTGGCTACACTACATCGTTGTCGTCTCTGATGCGGGTTCGAACTGTGATAGGGTCACTGATGTTATCACAATGTAACAGTCAGATTACCTGTTCAGATTGGCCAAAACATTCATTGGTCTTGTTAGAAATTACTTAGTGATCTTAAGATAAATTTCTCGGGGCAGGGTTGGGGTACAAAGGACGACATCTGTCATCTATGAAAGAAACGTAAATGACAATTCACAAAAATATAACAAACGCTTCACCTGAATCAGCTTTCAACAGTTTTTCCAAAAGGGGAAAGAGGTCAGCCCATTACAGAAAATGTTTACGACTACTTCCTGAGACAACGTGCCAGCACATATAAAGAATTAATGTCTGACGGGTATAGTATGTTGCACAACTAAAACATATTACTCATTTACAGTAGCACAAGAGTCCGTCGACTCACAATGTACTGCAAATTTGTTCTTATATCATTAACCGAATAATATCTAACGAACATCTGCAAACGTATTTTAAACCATCTTATGTTAAATACTACCATTCGAAATAGTGTCGCCAGGCAGTCCTTAAAATTAGCCAAAAAGAAACGTCTGTTTTTTCAGCAAAAAGGGTCCATACGGATTATTATTTAAGTAAATTTCCTTCTTATACTTCTTTGTGTTTTGAAGATGGAGAATAAAAGGGTGAAGGTGGAATTGGCGCGCCGTGCTTAAATTAAAGTATGGTAAGATCACCACGAGTGTAATGCAAACTTGAAGTTTTAAGAGCAACTACCTGCTTCAGTAAAAGCGAGTCAGCGTACGCACGTGTCGCCGCCGAGAAGGCATCCATTGAATGCGCCAGCTAATACCATACTCAAAGTAAACCATCTCGTGGGCCTGCTTAGAAGTAACGGATATCCGCATACCCCAGTTTACGACCGCATTGGGCCATAACAGAAAATACAAATAACCAACTCCTAGACTCCCATAGGCCAGTGGGGTATGGGCGACCGTTGTTAAACTTCCAAGATCACTTGGGGTTGGATTGGTCCATAAGCTCGAGACGACGCCATCAATAAGTTAGAAGACATTAGAGCTTAATTACCAAACAAGGAACGTCAACCCTCGTCCACAAGTTGGACTGTAGTTGCAGAAAAAGCAATCGACAAACACGGGCTGTAATAAACTATCATAATTAGCATATATCGTTGCAGAGTTTGGGCACACCATTCAACCCGGCTGTTAGGATTCTGAGCCGGAACCGTAATCATGCATTAAGACAGGTGCGAGATGTCCGGTCCTCGAGCGTCCACATAATTAACTGACATATTCGGTATTTTGAAAAAAATGACCTTGCCAAGGCACCGCGCATAACCTCCATCTCCCTGGGTGGCCACTTCTCGCGGTCAACCCGACAATCACCTCAGAGTTCCCGGCTAAACACTAGCAACGAACCTTGTCGGCTCAGGAAGTTGACGAGCACTGATTTATGCATGCAACGGCAACCTCTTCCCTTCACGCGTATAGTGTTGGACAGCCTCGTACGTTATTCAGGTCCAGAATAAGTCGAACTCGACTATCGTCTCTTACTTGTTTATATTAAGACGAGTCTTAAATAAAAATTGGCATGC